GTTGATGATACATTTGACATTCTTGTTTGGTGGAAACAAAACTCTTCAAGGTTTCCTATACTATCAAAAATGGTTAGAGATGTTCTAGCCACCCCAGTTTACACAATTGCTTCGGAAAATGCATTTAGTACATGAGATAGAGTTTTAGATGGTTTTAGAAGCTCTTTAAACCCACAAATGGTAGAGACACTAATTTGTGCTCAAAACTGGTTGAGGTCAACTATAACCCAGTTCAAAGATCTTAATATCAATGAAGAGTTTGAAATTTCAGAAAAAATTGTTACAGGTATCACAATATTCTTTTGCTATGAAAATTATTTAATATCTTGTTTTTAAATATATTGTAGAATTTCAGGTAATTTTAGCAAGTGTTAATGAAATTCAAGGAGGAGGTGGATCGAGCGTCATAGTTGGTCCATCATCTCAATCACAACCATTACTATGATTGGTCATACTTAAGATGTTTGTAATTTAAATGAACCTTTTTTTTATAGTTTATTTAGTAATTTATGCTTTTTATGTTTCTTGCTAAATTTTTTTTTTCCAGATTGACCTTTTCGCCATTTTGAAACCATTTGTTATAGACATGACTATTTTTGTTCCTTTTGGAGAATTTGTCATAAATGATCACTATGACACTTATTTTGCTATCAATGTTATTTATCACTTGCAACTTAGATCTTTTTTGGGTAACTTTTTAAGTAGTTTCTCAATTGTGTTTTTTAAAATAGTGACAAACTTTTATAAATATGATTTTGCTAATGCATATATAAATGTCTTTATTTTTATAGGTATTTTGCTATTACATCTTTGTGTACTGGTTTTTGTTTTATTGCCTTGTTGATTGGAAGAACCCTTTTGTCTTCTATTTGTATATTAGTTGTTTTGTATTCAGAATTGACAGGGTAAGAGCTTGTAGATTTATAATCAATTATTAGCTTTGTATTTTTTTGAGTCTCTCTTGTAAACTTTTGGGTTTTTGATTTATGACACGGGGTTATCAATTAAAACTTGGGAGGTAATCAAACCAAAAAATCCATTAGAGCACCTAGAATGGTTGTTTCTCTTTCTTAATGAAGAGTATGCTTGTGATGATTTATTTATGATATGCCTACTTTTTCCTTTTTTTCTTCATCTTCTAATTCTATCCTTTTGTAAATCATTTTTTTTTTATTTTTCTATCCTTTTTGTTTCAGTCTGACTACCTTCAAAAGGTCTTGCAATGTGTGAACGAGGTGCATTTTCTCTATAGTGTGCTTGGGTTGGATTTTGGCCAGACTAATGGAAATGGCTTGGAGAAGTGATGAAGATTCTTCTTCCAGTCTCATCTCCTTTGTCCAATCTTCTCTTGAGGTATTTAATAGACTCTTAAGGATGAAGAACAAGCTCCAAAGCTTGCTTAGGAAACAACAATGGTGCGGACAGTTCTTGAAGGAGAAGAAGTGTTGAAGGAACCAAGGCACAAAGGAAGAATTCCTTTGTGAAGGTTCTTAAGGAGAGAAGAGGGTTAGTAATAGATGGTGAATTTTTTCATATGAGGTGTTGTGCCCATATACTAAATCTAGTAGTGAATGATGGTTTAAAAAATGTGCACAATTAAATTGCAAGTATTCGAACAACTATTAGATTTGTAAGGCCTTCACCCTATGTCGGAAAATTCTGTTGGAAAAATTATTTCCTAAGGATTTTTTTTTCCGACGCCACTTTTTCTGACGGATTAAAATCCGTCGGAAATCCGTCGGAAAAAGCAAAATCCGTCGGAAATTTACCTATTTCCGTCGAAAATTAGCATTTTTCTTGTAGTGTACAATACAACAACACTTAATCACATAATTAAATCAACACCTCAAAAACATTGTTACATTGAACATTTTTTAAAAATTAGAGAATTAAATTGAACCATTTAAATAATGAGACTAAATTAGATTTTAAAAATAAATAGAGTGATGGAAAATATAATTTAATTAGTGTTTTTTCTTTTGTGAAACAACAATATATTTATTAAAATTTCATTAGAAAAATCAACAAATTTAAACAGATTTTAAAATTCATCAATCAACTCAATAACTTTCTTCGTGTAGTCAAACTAATAATCTTTACTGGTTCAAGAAGTTGACTTGAAATCTTTATTGAATTTTTATTTAAATATGATTCAAATTAAAATTAAAAAAATCTGATTTAATTAATATAGTAAAAAAAATATTTAATCAATGTTAGAGATGTTCGAAACTCAACCTATTCAGATTACTCGCAATGTTAACTAGATTGCGTTTAAGTTCTGGAAATCAGTCTCGATGTATTTTTTTTTTTTTTTGGAACAATTAATATTTTAGAATAGGCTGTCCCTGAGGTAATGTTTAAGATGATTTTTGAAAAACAATAAGAATTAATTTTAAAATCGACAGTTCAACAATAGAATAATACCGCAAAACACCTTTTAAGTTTAGTTTATAGTTAATTTATATATATATATATATATATATATATATATATATGCGGTGGGAAGATAAATAGATATTACTATTACTTTTTGAGCTGAAGTATGTCTACATTTAGTTTATTTTCTTATTAATTGTGTATTTGGTTGCACCACTAATTTGAACTTTGCATGCTAGTCTACGATTCCAAGCGTATGGGCCGGGATTCCACCGCATCCGACAATCCGACAATGTCAGGGGAGGCAGAGGATTGTTGCTTTGTTTTAGGATTAAACAAAATAGTTTTAGGAATGACAATTGTGTTTTGCTATTTTTTAACATTGTTGCTTTGTTTTGATGGCTATTTTTGTTGGTTAGGGGTTTATGTTTCTTTATGATGACTATCAATAGATTATAAATGCCATGAATTTTAGATTGTTATATTGTTGGTTTTAATATGTGACTGTGTTTGTTATTTTTCTGCTTTTGCATCATATTATATATATATATATATATATATATATTCTTTTTTTTTCTTTTTTTTCTTTTTTTTCTTTTGACAGGATAGTTTATACATCTAATTCTAAAGTTAATTACTTAACTCAATACAATGTTAATTTAGTCTTAATTTGATCATAAGAACCAAATCAAGGCAAAGTCTACAAATTTTGTCTGATTAAAATATCAGAACAAGTTATATTGAGCCCAAGAACACACTAATTGATCCATCATGTGTTGTGAGCAAATTTTTCACATTTATTTTACAAAAAATAAAATAAAATACACCATATGCTATTATTTCTTTAAAAAAATTAAAATTACACAAAATAAAAAAGTACATGTTATTTTATTTTAAAGTAGGAAAATAAACATTGCTACTAACCAGTGTTTCGAAAGTACTATTTATGAAATTGAAAATAAAAATACCTAAGAATGAAAACTTATGAAGATTTTAATAGATTAAAAATTTTGTTTTTTCATTTAGCATTTTTTAATACTTTAACAAATGCCATAGCAAAACCATAAAAATAGTATTATACTAATAATAAATAAAAACCAAACTATTTTTATAATGTTTATTGAGCTTTTTTTTAATTATTTTTTATAATAACATCTTATTTTTTTATGCAAAATAGAACATAGATAATTTACGTTCCTTAATTAAGTTCAGTCGTTATCACTATCAATAGTACCTAAAACTCACACTCATTAGAGGTAGCCAATAATACTCGCACTTTTGGAACCACTGTTTCTCATAATGAATATTGAAGGAATAACGATTGTTACACTCTATCAATAATCAACAATAGAATTAAATTAGAATAATATAAAAAAGAAAGAAAATACCATCTATAATTGATAATGATAAGTATACACAAAACAGCTAGTGACAGAGAGTTTGGATGCAAATATTTTCTTTTAAGAATACAGTATATATGTTGTAAACAATTATGCTTGAAATAGGTATGACTTTTACTAATGACGTAAAGTTATACTTTTTTTTTTAAATTATATCATTGATATAAAATATCAATGTCTTAAATTACTAAATTATTGGTTTTCTACTTGATAGCCATGAGCTATTATTTCCTATATACTATTTTACTAATACTAATAAATAAATAAAAAATCATTAGAGTCAAATTAATATTGACATTTATAAAAATCAAGAAAAATGTTATGTTTGAATTATGTTGTTGTTATTGTAATTTTTATGAATAAAATAAGTATACATAATTTTATTGATGATAATATTTATACAAAAATTTAATTAAATATATTTGATAGAATATCTCAACAACATTTTTTTATTCGAATTCAAAACTTTTCTCACATTCTTACAAGATTTCTTAAAAAACATAAATAAATCTCCACTAATTCCTTACATAGATTTTTAAAAATATCACACTAATACTCTTTAACCATTACAATAACACCTTAATTGATCCAAGAACGTTACATATTGTTCCCTAATTACTATAAACATTAAAAAAAGAGAGTAAGAAATTATGGACAATCTCATCAAAATTTAGAAGAAAAAAAATACTAGTATAATTTACTGTTTGTTATAACTTCAGTACTATAGTTTATAAAAATTATATAAATACAAGTATAAAAAAAACATAAGATAGTTCATCTAAGCATTATTTAATATTTGGGTGAGATCGGGTCAACATTAGCACCGAAGTCTACACGTGCTTCTCTCTTTCTCCATTCTACCTTCTTGAGCAGTGAAGAGAGTTTGCATGAATTATGAATCATTAACACACACACGCACCCTTGGAGCCTAACGGTGCGTTAACTATCCGTTAGAGGGAGCATTGTCATGAGCGTGGTACACAGCTTCTAAACCGTGTCTGAGCCAAAGAAGACAAAATAAGACAACCTGCACATGATTATTTTATGGCTTATATTGCCTCCTTTTTCTGAAATCTGAGTTAGAGTACACTTTTCAAGTGACATCCTCAACTCCATTGTGAAAAACCAAAGTACCAAACTACTTGGGAGCCAAACTTAGGATCTGACTTAAAGCCAACTTGGAAGCATTATTGGGTTCTGTGGTGTCGTGTTTGTTGGGTATTCCCACTCTTACTGTGCCTAACTCATTTGCTTCTCACTTTTTCTCAAATGGGTTTCTGTTTTTGTGTGAATTTTAGGTGGACTTTGATGTCTAGTAGTATGGATTTCTATGCTTGTCTTTCTCTGATTGTTTGGATATGCGGGGTCTTTCAATATTGAAGGCTTCTTATTGGTTTTCTTTTAGGGTAAGAATGATGATTTGGCCCTGTTGGTGATTCTGCTTCTGGCTGGTGATTTAAAAAGGGAGAATTATGGCTGGGGAGTTTGAAGAGTCATTTAGCATGAACTTTCAGGTTATTGTCTTTTTATCCACTTGTTGATTTTAGCATGGATCTATTGTTTTCAGTTCCAGTAACAATCCTTCTTACTCCTGTTTTGCTTAGTTTAGTTCGTGATTGCCGTTTTCATAACCCCATTTCAATTCATTGATAGAAGAGTAGAAAGTATATTTTATGTTTCTGTAATTTTCATTTAACATAGGTTGGTTCTGTGTGAGATGTTCTCGTGGTCAATAGTAGCTAGTGATGAGTGACAATAATTTGCTAGAAGAGTAATTTTCTTCATTTGTTGTTACTTACTGCTTAGTCAAACATATAATATAATGGTCTTGATCTGAATTACTGCTTCGAAAATTAGTTGAACAAATAGAACATAATGGACAGTGTAGTTTTACTACTATATTGATTCATTCCCATAAGGGTTGTTCTAATTTGCTTGGATTTTGTTCAGTACTGATTTATGATTTGTATCTTACGGAAACGCATTCATCTTTGTGATTTATTATACCACAAAAAATGCTAACTTTTCATGTAACCCCCCAAAAAAAAAAAATCGCCGAAAGAGGAACTGAATATTATGAGTATTCACTTGATTGAATACCGTTAATATTAATGTTAAAAAGATGAAACACTGTTGATTTTTAACTCTGACTACTGTTGCTTTGATTCTCGCCAAAAATGCAGGCAGATTCTATACACTCTGGTTCTATCTCATTTGGGAGATTTGAGAATGAACCTTTATCTTGGGAAAGAAGGTCCTCTTTCTCTCACAATAGGTACTTGGAGGAGGTTGAGAAATATTCAAAACCAGGTTCAGTTATTGAGAAGAAAGCATACTTTGAAGCACATTTCAAGAAGAAGGGCATTTTTGGTATTATTCCATCTACGGGTCTTGATGGATCGTCAGATAGAGCAACCAGTGAAAATGATGGCTCGGAGAGAATTGGAAAGCAAGAGGATTTTGAATCAAATGATGGCCATTATGTTCAATATGATGAAATATTGCAGAAGGATTTTGAGTCAAATGATGGCCATTATGTTCAATATGATGAAATATTGCAGAAGGATTTTGAGTCAAATGATGGCCATTATGTTCAATATGATGAAATATTGCAGAAGGATTTTGAGTCAAATGATGGCCATTATGTTCAATATGATGAAATGTCCCGTAAGGATTTTGAGCTAGATGAAGGTGGCCATTATATTGAAATGGATCAAAGATTTCAAGAGGATTTTGTGCCAATTGAAGATGATAATTATGTTCAATTTGCTGACATTCCTTCTGATTCAAATTATCATGGAGAATGTGGTATGGATGAATGTGAAAGAGAAGAGACCATCACAGAATATCCTATGGTTTCATTTTCAAGTCTGCAGATGGAATCTGCTGCGAACAATTCTAATGATATGGAGGTCGCCAGTAAGAAAAGTATTACATTGGATGAAGCTCATCAATCTGAAAATGAAACAAGTAATATACTCTCAGCTAATGACAAGGTGATTATGGATGTGAAGAATAATGATGATGTTACTGTAAATACCAATGAATCATCAATAAACATGGGTGTGACTGTGAGTGAACCAGCAAGGGATTTTGAGGAAACAATTTTGCATGATCCAGCAAGTCCTTCTCCCAAGGTATGCAAGCTTATGCGTTAAATTTTTCTTTTTTTTTTTTTTGCCTGTGGAAAGATCTAACATATAGAATGGCTTATAGTGAAAGCACTATTAATGCTTTAGTTTTATATTTGCTTTGAACCAGAGCCTGGTTTCCCTGTATTGTCACACTGTTTATATTGTTCAACTATATAAGCTTGCTTGTTATATTCTTTGGTGACATAAGGGTGCTTGATTGATGCATAGGAAACAAAGCTCAAGCCTCAACGGAATTATGAAGTCAATAATGTTCAAGTTCGGAAAAGCACATCTTCTAGATCAGCCAAGGATCCTGCTAGGATTCCTAGTAGAGAGAGTCCAAGGAGGACAAATTTGGAAAAGAATTTATCAAAACTTGCAACGCCGACTGCTTGTTCTGCTAGCAAAACCATCAAAGAAGTAAGAATTTGGAAGAACGGAAGGATAGTTAATCTTAATTTTGCATTTTTTTTTGCGTATGATTATTCTTCTATATGAATGGCTTGTTTGTGAATTGTCAGCTATATCACCCTTAATTTTTTGACCTCCATGTGCAGGTTTCTAAAAGTTCAGAGAAACTAGTTCGTGAAAGCAAAAGGTATTTGTTGTTTCTCAGCTGGAATTGTTATATGCTTCACATTCACGTACTCAAATGTGCATTTTAATTTGATAGTGAAAATGTATCAAGAGTAAGAAAGGGTGCAGAATCCCAACCTTCTGCTTTAAAAACAGCTTCCAAAGGAATTCAAGAAGCAGAGAGGTTTGTAGACATATGTAAGGACTAATCTTTCGTTTTCCTTCACCCTGATCTGAGACTAACATAATGTTCTATAGGATGAACCAAGCTATCAATTCTACAAAGTCCAATGTTAAGCCTAGGGTTGCAGCTTTCAACTTTAAATGTAATGAGCGTGCAGAAAGGAGGAAAGAGGCATGTAAAATGCTATCGTTTTAGAACCTTATCTGCTTATTAAAACATGTATATAGATTTTAGAATTGTATGATTATTGATTTGTTTTCATGATCTTGTCGACTCAGTTCTACATGAAATTGGAAGAAAAAATGCATGCAAAGGAAGCAGTGATGAATCAAATGCAAGCAATATCACAGGTAAGTCATCCAATAATAGCTTCTGGTTTTATGAGCTGGCAAGCATATCATAATCAGGTGGCTGGCTCTTGATATGAATGCATGAAATGCAATTTTCAAACCAATGGAACTTGGAACGAAATTGCATAGGTTTCAAATGAGTTTCTGTTTATGCTTCTATGTCTATGGTGCTAGAGAAGCCAAACACACATTGATGTGGTTGAATAGGACAAGATTTGATTGTTGCATGAAAAACAATTTAGGGCTTGTTTGAGTAAACTTATCCAAAAGCACTTCTAGGAGAGAAAATAGGAAGGAAAAATGAAATAATTTTTTCTATAAGTTAAAATGAACTTATGATTAAGTTAATTTGTTAAAGTTTTTTCTATTAGTTTTTCTAAAATCTCATTTTTAACTTACGCACAAATTAGTTTTAATTTATGTAGAAAATTATTTTGATTTTTTTTCATATTTTTTTGTCCTAGAAGTGTTCTGGAAAAGTTTATCCAAAGAAACCTTCATTTGTAGTTTATATATCTATATTGTGTGCGCCACTTAATCTCATTGAGATACTGTTACATGAAGTTTAATCCACATTTGATATGTATGTGGAATCTGTTAGATTCTAAATTTCTAATTGAAGGTTCTAATATGCTTGTTACAAATGCGGTTGCTGCTTGCTAACATGTGTCTTTTATTTTAATTGACTATTAACTATTACTTTTGCTATTTCAATAGGTTTCTTTACTTTATTGCTTCCCTAAAGTCTCTCAAAAATTTTGTTCTACCGTTGCCCTCAAACTTTGTCAAACTCGACCAAATAAATTATCTAGGACCTGTTTGTTATCAATTACCCTTGTTTGTAAGATCTAAAAGAGTTAATATGAATTACTGGGACTAATAAATTCAGGCATATTCTGGAAACGAAAAAATAATATGTGAGTACAGAAAAGTGAAAAAATAATATGTGTGTGTGGCCAACAAAGCAGAATGAGGAAACAAAATATGCGTAGAAGGATTCTGATATAGTTTGAAGTTAACAAGTACGTGCAGTGTAGCTGACTCCACTTACTTGCATTTCTTTTGGAGCTTGAAGAAACTTATTACATTCAACTTTTGTTCTTGTAGGAAAAGACAGAAGCTGATATTAAAAAATTCCGGAAGAGCCTCAACTTTAAAGCAACACCAATGCCTTCATTTTATCACACAACTTCCCCTTCACAACCACATGGGAATAAGGTACTTACTTTCCGAGTTTTCAGTTAGTTTTTTGCTCGTGAACTAGAGCATGTGATTCTTTGCAATTGAGCTGTGTTTGTTGTATCTTACCTAGCTTCCTACTTAATGGGACCTTCTTGTTGATTAAATATTTACTGGCCTAGTTTTCTTTAAGAATTTAGATGAGCAATGAATCAAAGACTCAAAATGCTGCATTCATTTTTCTTTTTGTTCTTTCTCTATTTGACTACAACCACTTGATGTTTGCAAATTCTCCCTTCTCAAGTCTCAACCTCAGGCTGTGTCAAATAACACCAGAAGTAAGAAAGAACAGAATAAACCAAAATGTCCAGGGAGTGAAGCAGATGCAGCACTACCTTTGAAATCAAAGGTGGGAAATGATCTAGACACTGATGAATCTTTAACAGCAAGGGAACCACATGGTATCTCAATCGAAGAGTGCACCAAAACGAAAGCATCTGAAGCTAGTTTGACTTCTCCTGCTCCATCAACCAACCATAGCCGCCTTGCTGATTCTATGACAAGTAATCATACTTCTGGAAAGAAAGAAGGAGCAAAGGTTTCTTCACAAAAACATAGGGTATCAGTATCAGATAGTTGCAAAGGAGCAAAACAACAAAACAATGGAAGAAATAAAAATGGTGAAACCACAAGACATAGAAATGATATAACGAGGAAAGGTGTGGGAAATGTTGGTTTGAAAAGCAGTTCTAAAAGTGGTAATCTTGCTGTACGTGTTGCCTCCTGAAGAATTTATTACCACTTCACTTTATAACTTGAGGAAGGTTCACCACCATACATATATTGCACATTGCACATTGAGGTAGTAGCATTTCTTTTATTCACAATATTGAATATTCAATTGATGGCATAGTTGAGACAAGTTATAGTACAACATGATCCATGTTACTACAAAGTTTGGTAGAAGTTATGCATGATACAAATATTGGAAGTTAGTAATGAGCATGTTTTTACTATGGACTTGTTGGATCTTCTGGGCACCCCTCCATATGGAAGTTTGTTCATTTGCTTATCAGAAAAGAAATGAATTTTATGGAATTTTTTATTTGTAAATAATTTATCTTTGAATTTATCATTATCTTCTTTCTAATTCCGGCGTACTATAGTAGATTTATCTTCTTTCTACTTCGTGTCTTTATAGCATAAGCTTACAAATTTCAGTTGTTATATATTTTATCCCTTATTTGAACATTTCATGATGACGTCGTTTCTTTGTTGATTTTCTAGGCAAAGTAATAAAGGGATTATATGAAATTAGAACATCAATCAAATATACTAAACCAAACTTCTATATGGAGTCTCATATATGCCATCTTGTTGAGACGACCTATGTCTATATAATATTCTAAAAGGAAACTTTACATTTTTTTTATAGATGTTATTAGTATTTTTCTCTAATCAAAATTGAAAATTAACCTCACTAATATCATGAATATAAATTAATAAGATTATATTAAATGTAAGTATATATAATCGAAGTAAATCTCTAATTCTGATTAAAGAATAAACACTAACCACGTCCAAAAAATTATATTTAAGTTTTGTTTCATATAAAATATTAAATTCAAAACAAACATTAATTAGTAAGGATGACAAATGAATGGATCAAATAAGTTTTTAGGTGGATCATAATGGATTCAATAAAAATAATATATTAAAAAATTTAATTATAAACCTAATCCATCCAGTCTATTTAAAGCAAAAAAAAATCATTTATCCATTCATTAACAATTTTTTTTATAAATGAATATTCAATCCATTCATAAAAGTAATATTTTAAAAATTAAATAATTTTTATTTTCTCTCCTTTTTCTTTATAAGTCATTACATTCTTAATTATATAATCTTCTAAAATTTACAAAACTGTTTTATTATATCAAAATAACCTTTTAATTTTCAATTTAATAAACATTCCATATGTAATCCAATAAATTTTGAAAAAATAATAAATGAATTACTAATTATTTATAAAAGTAAATGGATAAATTAGATTGGATCCATTATTTATTTTTATTGTAATGGATAAATTGAATGAATTTACTTGTAGATGAATTAAATGGATGATAGATAAATAAATTCATTTGCCACTCCTATTAATTAATTAATTTGTCATTCCTATTAATTAGTTAATTTGGATACGGAGAACTCATTTTTTAGAGGTTCTACATTTACCTAATTAACTCTTCAAAGTAATCAAACTCGAACCATTTTCATTATTTTTATTTGCAAATTGAAAATCTGATTTAAGTATGTTTAAATGCATCAACCAAACTGCACATCTCATGTTCGGTGATGTCTCACTTTCCAAACAGAAAGCATATGGCTAAAGTTTGTCTTTAAAAGCCACCAAAAAAGTTGTTATTAGAGATAATATCGTCTTATGTGTACCAAATAATTCCTTTTAGTGGTCCCTCTAAGGTAGTAGACCTTCACTTTCTTTTTTTTCAGTAATAAAGTCGTAGATATCATCATGAAGTAATTAGTAGTATAAATGACTCCCAAATGAATATTTAATATAAGCTATCAAATGCAAAAATATGTGAAATAAGGTTTGTTATACGACCTCATATTTGTACTAATAAAAAATATAATAACACAATTGATATAGAAGTCTCGAGCAACGACGAAATGCAATAGCTTTTAAATGAGAAGAGATGCAATAGTTTGCGAGATTCTTGACCAGCACTTGAATATATGAAATGAAATAAAAAGGCTTAAATATGTTTTTGATCCCTTAAATTTAGAGTAAATCTATTTTTGGTCCTTTAAATTTAAAATCGTTGTTTTTAGTCCTTGTAATTTCAAAAAATCTTATTTCAGTCCTTATATTCAAATTTTGTTAAGAAACTTATCAAACATTATTGCATAAAATATACCTATTCATGTCCCTATTAGTAAAAATATCACATTAAATCCGGTTAATATTGCATAACTGTCTTAATTAGTCATTTTCAAATATGTTATTGATGACTTAAGGAACTAAAACAAGATTTTTAAAAATTACAAGGACTAAACAACAGTTTTAAATTTGAGAGACCAAAAATAAATTTATCTTAAATTTGAGGGACTAAAAACATATTTAAGCCAATACAAAACTACAATAGAGCACGACAGGGAAATTGCACTTCTCACAAGGACTCATGGGAACTTGAATACATCTATACAGAAAACTTGAAACGATCACATCAATATATATATATATGAAGAGGGAAGTTGTTAAAATTGAGATTTTATCTGAGATTGGAAAGGAAGTAAAAATTCGTAACTCGAGAATCGTAATTTAGACAGTAAGATCCTACACTTCTATTTAAAATACTTATAATATATATAAATAAAAAATAAAATAAAGAAAGAAATAATCAATTAAACATAATATTAAACAAATTTAAATTAAAAGTTCATAATCAGAATTAATAATATACATATAAAAATAAAAACATAACTTAATTTATATATTAAATATTTTCAATAATAAAAATTTATAGTAGTTAAACAAAATAAAAAAATTAAAAAAAAACAAAATATTTAAGGTCTTATATTAAATTTATTATTACTTAAAATATTATCTGAATTATAATAATAATTAATAATAAAGAGAAGTTACTTTCTAAAAAATAATAGTGAAATAAAAATCCCTTAACCAAATCAAAGGCTAATGATATATACACTTCCATTTTTTTTATAAGTGCACCTCCTTTAATTTTTTTTTTTAATTCTAAAATATTTATAATTTTTTATTCTTTAAATTTTTAATTTTACATCTCTAACTTTTAATTTACTATTTTTTCTTTTCATACACCTCCTTCCTTCTTTTTTTTAGTTTTCACATGCACCATCTTGTCTTCCTCTAATTTCTCACCTATTTTAGTAAGTAGTTTTAGTTTTCTCGATTTGTATATTACTCTCTTATTTTCTCACTTCTTTCACTTTTGCACATACACCCAAATCATAAAACTAGTAGACGACAATATTGTAGGTACGTATAGTTTTCTTGACAATTTCTATCAAATTAGACACACATTTTTTCTTATAACACTTCTTTTTCTTTCACCCCTCCAAAAACCTTAACATTAAGTTTAGTGTTATAAAAAAAATATTTTCACTATTCTAGAGTACTATGCGGATAGTGAAATTAGTGAGAAAACTGAAAGAGGAAGGGTAAAAGAATAATGTAAAACTATAAGAATTAAAATTACTTACCAAAATAGGTAGAGGTGAAGAAAAATTAAGGAGGTACATGTAAAAATAAGGAAAAGAGGTATGTAAAAAAATGTTAAATTAAATGTTAGGAGTGTAAAATTAAAAAAATTAAAAAAAATTAAAAATTAAGAACATTTTAAGAATTTAATTATTTTTTTTTACAAAAAGGGGGTGTACTTATAAAAAAAGAGGTGTGTATATCATGATCCCAAATCAAAAGATAAAATAAAACTTGGCCCATTTAAAACTTGGCCCATTTTGCCCAACTTTTCCAACCCTAATTATTTTTCCTGCAACCCCTTCGTGAGACTCAAACCCACCGTTGCCTTCCCTCTTAGAAGAAGACAAATTTGTAGATGCCGGAGAAGACAGCCGCCGTCAAAGACGACAGATCGACGGACATCCACTAGAGAAGATAGATCGACGGAGATTTTTCAGAGAAGAAGACAGATCGGCGGAGATCTGCCGAAAAAAGAAGAGAAGATTCGTCGCCCACCCGCGATCGCGCTGCCACGCTCCGAAGCTTTCTTGGCCGCTCCGACCGCACCTTTAAAGCGCTCCGCAACAAACTTTTTCAACATCGTTGCAAATCGGCGATTATACATTTTTGCAAGAAAAATCGAGATTTTGCTACGATCCTACCACCCAGCTCTCCGATTTAGCACGGAATCCATTCCTTGGACGTAGAATCGTGGGATTTCACGAGTTAAATCACGATTTTAATAACACTAGAGGGATCTATTTACTTTAGGAGTAAGTCTAAGTAGACTTACTCTGTTCAATAGCTCATGTTGTATATCAAATTTTAATGATCCAACCATTGAATTTAAAGTTCTTAATGCATAAATCAAATCTGCAAATTTTTAAAAAATTTGAAAACCATTTAATATTTTATTTTATTAATTCAAAATAATATATAAAATAATTTTATAATTATCCGTTAATTTGAATTAATGAAATGATTTTCAAATTTTTAAAAATTTGCAGATTTGATCTATGCATTAAGAACTTTAAATTCAATTGTTAAATCATTAAAATTTGATGTAAAATATTAGTTATTGAACGGAGTAAATCTAGGTAGACTTACTCCTAGAATAAGTGGATCATATATGAAGAGTGATCAACTTACTTCAAGAATAAGTTGAATTAAAAATTCTTAATATATAGTTTAAGTTTGTAAAATTTTAAAAAATTATTTGATACTTCGTTCTTTAATTCAAATTGACAAATAATTATAAAAATATTTTTTACATTAATTTGAATTAATGAAATAAAATATTAAATAATTTTTAATTTTTTTTTAATTTTAAAGGCTTTATACATTAAGAACTTTAATTCAAAACGATTAAATCGTTTAAATTTGATGTAGAACATGAATTGTTGAAGAAAATAAATCCAAAAAAAAACTTACTATTACAGTAACTGAATCATTCATCTCTACGTATATTACAATATTCATACTTTCGAAATCACTAACTTATTATTATATATGAATGGTCTGAAGATTCTTTGTTGTAGCAGTCGTGGAAGTAATTGTTTATTTTCTTGTTGTAGATTTCTTCAAATTTCATGGGTAACGTAAATTTGTCTTTGTAACAGATTCCATGCAGTCTATTCTTTTGGTAGATTCTCTATGGTATTGAAACTATAATTTTTGGCTTCTTTTGTCTCTTTATTGGACTGTCTCGTTGCATGTATTTCTTTACAAATATGAACTAATTGTCTTTAGCCTTTTAAAGGGTATTACATTTTTATATAACAATTCTATCTATCAGAAACTCAATATTTAATTAAAAATAATATAGAATTTAAGTAATTTTTTATTATAATATTGACAGAAATATTTATTGACTTCATCATAAACTCGTTTATCTCGAGACCTGAATTATATTAAAGTTATCACTCTCTAAAACATTGCAATTTAAAAATCAACTACAACACTAGTCAGACAAAAAACGTTAATAGAAGAAAAAGGAAACATGATTTTTTTTAATGATAGGATTAATAATTTATAATCCGAGTGAAAATCTCAATTAAGAGAATGCATTTCATTAAGAGTATAATAAATTTTCCATCTGGCCAAGAAAGAACATTCCTGTTGGCCTGTGATTTCATGAAACAAACCTAAATAAAGTTCTTACATGATTCACATTATTATCCTTTACTAGAAAGTCCTTTTCTAATGTGATGGCGCTATGAAATAGTTCGTTGTATGGTTTTAACAAGAGAGAGAGAGAGAATGTCATATTATTTATTTTTAGATTAATTAATTACTCAAAATAAATTATTTAAAATTTTACATATATCAATTAAGGAACCAATAAGGTGTGTTATGAAATAAGTATATGACCAAAGGTGTGATTTCTAGTTGGTGTGTATGAAAAAATATTGATTAAGATAGATCAACTCTTTAAATAAATCTTAGTGCTTTGAGATATTAGTCTTCAAATTTTTGACTAAAGAATACCTTAATTTTAAAAAAATATATATTAATTATGAAGATTATTAACTTAAACATAAAAGTTGACGAAATAGTAAATATTAGACTTTTGATGTAAATGACTTATGAGTTGTGCTCGATGCATAATAAGGGAACTTTGCTCTCATCTAACTAGAGAAATAATTGCCCCATTTGACGGTTTGATGTGCACAATTGTCAAATAAACATATGGTAATTTGATACACACTTAGTTACAATAATAATAAAAAATTATAGGATAAATGCTTTAAGTTATATGAATTTTTTAATCTTGTATATTATTTGATGATAATAGATAACACAAATAAAATAAAAATTATTATATTATCTTTCTTAACATTACTTATTTTAATTTGATGTTAGTAATAATAATGATAAGTATAATAATAATAATAATAAAGACGGTAAAGTCGATGATCATTAACGATAATGAAAATGGAGAGAGACAATAAAAAAGATATATAATTATTAAATGAGTAATTTTTTTAGTGCTTTGTACTTAAGATATCTTATAATATATTAAATAATAAAAAATTAAGTTTTTTTTTAATATCTCCTCTCTCATAATATATATTTTTTAAATTGAATAAAGAAGAATTATATTTATATTATCTAATACTTTGATTTAACGGATCGGTAATCAAGCAGAGAACAGTTTCATCTCAACTTATTTTCTCTATGGCATATGCTGCATGCATGAAGTTGAAATTATGGACATGAACTTGGGCTTCTGTCCAAGTATAACACATTCTAAGATATTTCTCAACTAAATTATATGTTGAGAACATATCATATCATATATCCCTTTGTGACGAGGTTTAAAGTTTTCCTTCTACCATTCATAAAAAAATCTACATATTTAAAGTTAAGAGCATGCAACTTAACTAATTGATCAAAATATTCATGAATATCTAGATATATTCATAAAATTTGTTTATATTTACTTAATAGATGTTGTGCAAATATATGGCGGCTACAAAATAAATTTTGGGTGAGTAATAGGAGTATTTGTGTCCTCCCATCCATATGTCATCCTTAATCTTTGTCTTACTTTTCTAGCTTAAAATGTACTTTATAGTTAAAGTTCAAAATAAGTTGTTTGGTTATTTTAGCTTAAAAATTTCTTTAGAACTAAATGCTTTTTTTCCACCACATGTTTGTCAAGATATGAAAGAGAGAAAGATTAAGATTTTAAACTTATTTTTAAAAGATTCTTCAATTAAAATTTTTATTTACAAGTTATCGTTTTGATCTCCCGCAATTTTTTAATAAAAAAAATTATTTACGATTTTTTTTCTCCAAATGTATTTGACTACCTAACTTCTCCGTTTAAGAAGAGAAACTAAGATGGTCAAACACTACCCAATTTGAGAAACCAAACTACAATTTTCATAATAGTATCCTTTTAGGCTTTTACATTAATATAATCATATTATATTTTTGTTTAATCACACACAATTAAAATTATGTTAACTTGTGAACTCATTCCACCTCATCATTATTTCAGATGAATAATAAAATAATTATTTATTTGCCAATTTGTTAGAAAAGAATTTCAAAATTGGTCCATAAACAGAAAACAAAGAGCCCATCCCAAGAGAGACAAATTCCAGCAATTATATGCCTTTCCCACTCCAAAGCCAATCAAAACACACACAAGAAGAGAACCCCGTTTACACCTCTGTCTTTTTCTTTGTACCTTTTTAATTTTTTATTTATTTTTTATATTTTGAAAATTAATTTTTAAAATATAAAAAATAACTTGGGTTGGGCCTGAGGTCCAGAAAGTGAAACCCGACCCAATGTATATAAAGAAAATTACTGAATTTATCTAAGACTCTTGTCCTCCTTGTTCAAATCGAAACTGAAAGACCCCATATCGTGACCGCCGCCGCCGCCGCCGCCGTGCGCTCCGGTCGCCATCTCCATTCGCCGTCTTGCTCTCATCTTTGGTAATTGTTCATTTCTTATCTTACTTCTCATTCTCGCTGAATCCGTTAGTGTTTTTTTTTTCTCTCTCTTCAATTTCTATTATTACATTACTCCATTTCACTCTACTTTTCATCATAGTTATGCTCGTGTTCTATGGTTCCGTGCTATGTTCTGTCAGTGTTATGCATGACACGAGTGTCTTTGGGTGTGAAATGAAGAAAAAAAAAAGTTATGCCTTAGAAGAATCATTGTTGCTTCATTTTGTTGCTACTCACTTATGACTGAAATTTATGTGGTGAATTAGATGTCATGGTATTAATAAATTGGGGAAAGAATCATTGTTGAGTGAACTAGTTGGTGTGGTTCATTTATTAGTTTGAGTTAAATTTTTTCTTTTATCTTATAGTAGTTAACTAGTTATGTTTTCATCATACATCACTAGTTTTCTTGTCATTCTTTATAACACGTGTTATTCTCTAGTGACATAAGTTTTGTCGTAGTTGGAGATATCAAGAGTGAGTCTTATATTATATTTGTGTTAACCTCTGCAATTTATCTTTTTGTTCAGGTGAAGTTTGGAGAGCTTACTGGAATTTCTTCAGAACTTGTTGTGTGGATGAAAGAAAAGTGACGATGGTTGATGCATGAACTTAAGGGCCTTGAGGTCTGTTCCCACTGTATTTACAGTCTAAATCCAAATGTGTTTGAAAGCTGAGTATAGCACAGTGGCAGTGAGCATGTTAGGGTGATACATGTGGAGTTGAGTGCGAGGGTTCAAGTGAATAGAAAAGAAAAATTAAGTTGGGGAAGGAGGGAAAGAATTAATTAGAGAGGAAGGGGTGTGGTTTTTCTGATTTCCGAAGCAAAAATATCAACGAGTGAAGAAGAAAAATGCTCTACATAATTGGTTTAGGGTTAGGTGATGAGCAAGATATCACTCTCAAAGGTTTGGAAGCTGTGAAGAAGTGCAACAAGGTTTACATGGAAGCCTACACTTCCCTCTTATCCTTTGGTCTCTCCACTGATGGCCTATCCAACCTGGTACAATCTATCTACATTTCCTTTTCTTTCCTATGATTGTGTCCCTATACTTCAATTTTCACCTTTTTCATCTCTTTTTTATAATTATTAGGAAAAACTATATGGTAAACCCATTATTCTTGCCGACAGAGAAATGGTAGAAGAAAAGGCCCATGAAATTCTTTCTGAAGCTCATGATGCCCATGTTGCTTTCCTTGTTGTTGGGGACCCTTTTGGGTATGCTATGCCCCTACTTCCTTGCTTTTCTCTATCTAACATTTACATTGCTTTGCTCAAACGCTCTTTCATAATATTAGCAGATTGATTTTATGATTTTTCCCAGGGCTACTACTCACACTGACCTTGTTGTTCGGGCAAAGAAGATGGCAATTGATGTTAAAATTGTACACAATGCATCTGTGATGAATGCTATCGGAATTTGTGGTCTACAGCTTTACCGTTATGGGGAGACTGTTTCTATACCATTCTTTACAGAGACATGGAGACCTGATAGCTTCTATGAGAAGATTCAAAGAAACCGAATGATGGGACTGCACACACTTTGCTTGTTAGGTTAATATCTGTAATTTGTGCTTTAAACTACTGCTTGTGTTAGAATTTTTTGTGCACATATATTTAAAATATAAATCTAACTAGGTCTTTGCATATATTGAACCTGGTGTATTGATGTATTATCATGCTGGAATCCATTAGTCTGATGCAGCAGGTACTATAATGAAATAGTGTGATTATGTTATATGTGCTTATTCCTACATTTGCTGATCAGTTAACTCAACTTGTTTACTACACTTATTACCTTCTACTTCGTGTAATGGAATACCAAAGCCTAGAGTATCATGTAATTTCTAAAACATAGCCATTTTTTTATATATATATTTTGTTATTTTATTCAAATAAATATTAAATGATTGTACCATCTTAAGTTGATGACAACATTGGAGGAAAACTTTCTTCTTTGACTAGTGTGCTAAAGGTTCTACCTTTTTTTTTTTTTTTTTCGTGAGAAATCTTACATGACTTCCAATTTGGTACGGTTACAGATATTCGGGTGAAGGAGCCCACACTAGAATCTTTGTGCAGGTTGGTTTTCTATGTGGTCCTTTTTTTCTTCTACTATTGTTTTATAAGTAAATCAGCAAGTATGGGCTGCTGAAGTTCTCTGGCAATCAATGTTCTGACTGGTATCATGGCATTCAGCGAATTGTTCTAGTTATATGTTTTTCTTTGTATCTGCTTTATTTTCTTTTATTTGGTCATTTCAGAGGAAGAAAAACGTATGAACCACCCAGATATATGACAATCAACACGGCCATTGAGCAGCTCTTGGAGATTGTGGAAGCACGTGAAGAATCTGGTAAGTTGCTTGAGCATTTACGTCACTCTAGTTTAGGCATAAATTTCAAGTGTTAATTATTTGCTTCTTGATTGTATTATTGTAATAATTTCAAATATATAAACCTTTAAAATTTGATCTAGATAGTACTTGTTTTCTGGAAACATATAAGCTTATTTTGTGCTTTTTTAAAATACTATGCTATCAAACAGTGAAAGTTCCTCCACTGGAAAGCAACAAGAAAAATGATGTGCTTTCCTTTTTTGTTAAAGTTTCACTGCCAGTATTTTTTTTTCTTTTCACTGCCACTAACCAACAATTTATGAATGGTTATCTTTCCGTAATTCATTTGTGCTTTGCAATTTCTAGCTGCTTAATATATAAATTAAATGTACACAGAAGTCATAGAAATTAATAATCTTGGAGATTGTTTCTTTTTTATTGGCACATCTGTTTACCTTCTCTTTTGGCTCTTCTTTTTTGGTCTAGCATATCTTCAGACACACCAGAGATCTGAAGATAGTTTATTGAGTGTTCGAATCCATTCTTATTCCCAAAGACTTGTACAGTTCTTTAAAGTTTCCCAATTTTTGTTTTGTAATCTGCTCTATGGGGCGCTGATTTGTGCAGTTGAATCCCTATAGCCAGTTCTAATCTGCAGAAATTATTGTTAAATGTTTAGCTATTGCTTTAGTTTTACAAAATCGTCAACTATATCCTAATTCGTCCTTTTACTGTAATGTTAGTAATCAATTCTAGATTTTTGGCATGTTAAATTGCTTTGTTTTCAGTGATTGCATGAGCTGTTGTTGTAGATCAGTCATTTCTGTAATTCTGGTGCATGTTTCTTTATCCCGTGTCTTTATTTGTGGATAATAGATGTGTGTACCATAGGCCCTTAGTATTTGCTCATTAGGAGACAATTTTCACTGTGGTAAGAAGAGTTTATATATATGGACTTGCTATACTTTATCTAGTTAAAAGTAGTCATTCCCCCTATTTTTCCTTGCAGCCTATAATAAGGATACAGAATGTGTTGGCCTTGCTCGGCTTGGTAGTGAAGATCAGATGATAGTAGCTGGAACAATGAAGCAGTTGCAGTTGATTGATTTTGGAGCACCTTTGCATTGCCTTGTTATAACAGGCAAGACCCATCCCGTGGAGGAAGAAATGCTGGATTTTTACAGATGCAGGACATAGATATACAACATTTAAGACAGCAGGACCAGTATAATTTAAAAAAAAAAAAAAAAAAAAAAAAAAAAAAAAAAAAAACTTGTTTGTTTCTGTTAAAGGAGCCCTGGTATTTTTGTTCTTTAAAACATTTTGGTTGCTAATCAGGGCTAAAAGTTAACTAAATTAATTGGTGGCGGAAGATTATGGTGTACCGGGTTTTAATTTGGTGAGTGTGCTGAACGAACACATTTTCCTTTTTCTTTTTTGAAATTCAGTTGATTGTTCTAGAGATACCAAAAGATATAGATCTAAATATCCGTTGAAGAACTATGTTTTGAAAAGTTGTGCATGCTGCTTCTAAATGAGGTTCACTTTTGCTGTTGAGCTAGTTATTAGTTCATTATAAGTTAACTAGTTAATTACAAGTACACTTAGGTGCATGTTTGGATAAATTTTTTTTTTTATAAATAATTTTAATTTTTGGAGAAAACAAATAGGGAGGAAAAATTAAAATAATATTTTTTTACAAACTAAATTAGCTTATGTTTAAGATAATTTATAAAAGCTTTCATATTAATTTTTTTTCTAAAAGAATCATTTTTAACTTATATATAAGTTAGAAACTTATTTTTATTTTTTTTTCTTTTAGAAGTGATTATGAATTTATCTAAAAGGTTTCTATTTGTTAAAAGAAAGCTTCGTCGGGAATTTCTTTCACTATTTGTTTAGAGCACACTTTCAAAAATAAAATAAGTTATTTGAAACGGGACGATTGGTAATCTTATCAATATTTACTAATTTTCATATGAATAGAATTCTTTAAACAATATCATTTTAAAAAAGTTTCATGCGTTCTATCGAAAGATTCCAAACACAAGTAATGGCAATGTCACAACTAACTAAGGATTTAGGCTTTTGAAGGATTTGCCTCTTTTAAAGTGAATAAGTGTATTTTAGATAATAAAATATATTCATAATTATTGATTAAAAATTAATAGTTGAGATTTGTAATAAGATTAAATATGTATAATAAAATTTAAAAATAATTATAGTATCCACTATTGATTTTTTTAATTAATTATTATTGCACTTTACTTTTTGAATTGTAATTTTTTCATTTTAGAGGAATCAATTCTCATGACTAAAGACTTAATCGTACCATAATTAGCTTAATTTCTATTAAATATAACATTTCATGGTTCAAATATGTGGATTTGCTTCGAGATAAAATTAAATTGTTAAGGCAATGCCTTCACAATTTATAACATGATTGTATATAAAGAATTAAAAATGTTTAAATAATCAATATGGTGTGAAATAGTTGGTTTTGAGTTTAGGGGTAACAAAGCAAGTTGAAAACGTAGGATCAATTCACTTATCCGGTCAAAAATGTTAGGGTTAGACACTTCAATTCACCAACTTGTCCAAACATGTTTCACCTAACTCGTTAGCCCAATATATTGAAGGTAGGCAAGACCAACCCAAGGATAAGGCTATTAAAGCTCAAACTTTAGGTCCACCAACTAAAGATTACTAGCTATTATGTTTGCTAAAGCAAAAAGAAATGTGGGGTGAGTTTGGTACTTCAACTCACCAACTTGTCCTAACATGTCTTACCTAACCCCCTAACTCAATAGGCTGAAGGTAGACAAGACCAACTCAAGGATAAGACTACAAAAGTTCAAACTTTAGGCTCACCAACTAAATATTATTTGTTATTATGTTTTGTAAAGTAAAAAAATCACATGTATTAGTAAAAAAAATAATATAAAAACTCAACATACGACTCTTTTATTTCAATTATAAAAGTCTCTTTCAATTTTTTCTTTTAGGCTTTCGTCATTGTTGAATCTGAGGATAGGTTGACTCTTCAGGTAACCTGCTTAATTTACATTCAATCTATCTCTAAATTATTAATATTTAATTTATATTTTTATATAAGAATAAAATGAGTGGTGTGTTAAAAATAAATAAATTAGTGCTCTTTTTAGTATTTTCTTATTTCTTTTTTATTTTAAATTATTTTTGTATTATGATGGGCTTGCCAACCTGCCATATCATAATTGTCTATCTTACTCTTTTATTATTTGATCAATCAACTAGTCAACTTACTTTTAAATGGGAAGAGTTATTTTTTTAACTCACTTTTTATCGATATTTTGCCCTACTCTAAACGAGTTGATAACACTTCAGGTCGAGTTGACCCATTGTGTCACACTTAATGTGATTAGGAGTTCAATCCTTGAACTTATATGTATGAAAAAAAATATGTCTTAAGAGGTTGGTCTTTTAAATGGACCTTGGTACCTCAAAATATTAATTCTTGAGTACCAACTAAAGGATACCTTAGTTGATTCAAAAAAATGCTTCAATAAATATTATTTAGTGACCTTTTACACTAATATATAAATTAAATGTATAATAGTTTACATTCCATCAACCAATTCAAGAGATAATTTGTTTATTCATCAAATTAAAATTCTAAATATGGAAGATTTTGTTTTTGCGAGGGAAAGATTTCAACCCATATTCTATGGTGCTAGAAATTAACCCCCACATTAGAGTGAAATTAAAATGTATATGACAAAATTATTTTATATACAATATGTTTCATGTAAAACTTATATTTTTTAATACATGTCAATTTATGTATTTCAACAACCTAATCATTTAATCATTTTCATGATACATTAATCAAATATCAATAAAATATTAAATTAAATAATTATTAAAAACTAATATTTTATTTAAAAACTAATTTAAATAATAAAATATTAAATTAAATAATTATTTTATAATAAATTTATTAAAAAATATTAATATTTTAATGATTCAGACATTGGTTCAGAATTTGTTTCAGCTTATATAACAATGCTCTTATAGTATAACTTTAAGTCGTGTCAATCATAATCTCTTTTGTTTTATGTGAATAATGCATGTACTTTTTTAATTTCATTACTTTCTTGTCGATACTCTCAATAAGTAAGAGTTGTTAGTATCCTTGTGTGTAATTTTCTCATATACATTCTGCTATATAAGGACTTTCTAACGTTGGTTATGGGCATCGAGAGTTTTTGATAATAAAAGCTTTGCTACTCTATTTTCAATCTAATTTTTCAATCTCTTTAATTCTTCTCTTGTAAGTTTTCTATCATGAATCTTATTTCTTTTGTTTTACTACTTTCATTAAATTTACAATTTTATTATTATTGTTATTATTATTTTTCTAATTATTATTAGTATTCTTATTCTTATTATTATTATTGTTATTATTATTATTATTGTTGTTATTATTAATTTTACTATTATTATTATTATTAATTTTATTATTATTATTATTATTATTATTATTCACGCACTTTGTGCTAGACAATCTGCTTTAACTGATTTAAATCATTATTTTGTTATATTTTTATTTATTTGGTACGTGAATCTATATATTATCCTTTTATAACCTTTTTTTATTTTCTTTAAATTATGATAACTTAACCCAACCATACGAGGATTAAATTGAGTTGAAATTTTAAACTAAGTTCAGTATATTCCAACTGACTTTTTTTTTTGTGAGTTAATGACAAATTGTATTGACTCATTTGTCACCCCTTCTTCCACACCTCTATGTCATCACTTCGTTAATGTATTTTTTTTTTTTTATAAATGATAGGATAAAAGTTTATAGTTATTAATAATAAATGCTGGCAGCATTTTTTTATATTGTTAATCAATAATTTTATAATCTCAAATTATGTTAACACTAAATATTCAGTGCATAATATTTATTTTTGATATTATTAATTATTTATCAAAAAAATAGTTTGGTATAATTTGTCTTTTACAAAATTTTATAATTCTCAGAGCATTTTATTTTTTATTGTTTAAAATAATGCTTTTTGTTCATTTTTTTTCATTAAAATCTAATTTTCTAAAATAAATATTCAAAACATAAATTTTACATCAAATGGAAATCAATATACTTCATCTAAACAAGGAACTTAAAATACAGGAAATTTAAATAGTCAAACAAAATATTTTTAAAATAAAAATATTTAAAACTGTTGGATTAACAACCCAGAAAAACAGTACCAAAGCCTTGATCAGAATCAAAACCTTGCAGTAAAAAAAAACACACTAAAGAATTTTTTCGTGGTTTGAATTAGAGCAATGTCCTTTATTCTACATCCAAGGCAGCCATTGGGATTAAAATTTCTCTTGCAATTGAGTACAATCTCACTTCTTTTTTCAAGTGTACAGATCTTTCATTTACAAGTACAAGAGAAAAAAAAATTTCTGGAAAAATCAAAAATCATCTTGAGCAAGTTACAACCGGTTATTTATAGCACAAGTAACAACTACATGACTAACTAACTAAAGAGTTAGCTAAATACTTGCTCATGCGAAAAAAAACTTGTTGACTGAACCAATAAGCCACAAAAACAATTGAATCTCCATACATTTAAAATTCCTTAAAATTTCCATACATCAACATCCTCACACTTCCCCTCAATTCTCCTTTCCCAAACAACACTCAATTTTTAAATTCCACACACTTCTCTTCTCTTCCCTACTCTTCTTTTCTACTTCCCCTTTCCCAAACACCCCTTAAGCATTTCTATTCATACTATACAGGCTAGGAACCTTCAATTCAGCAACACAGTAGTGTTCCACATAAATAAAATAGTTTTCCTTTTACTGCAAAAATTGAGATAAATTTAACTTTATTCTTAAAGTAGTTCCTGTACTGTATATATTGTAATCTGTTATTAACATCTCTCCCCTTCAATAATTGCAAGATTTGCTTAGATGAGTCTGAAGCACACCATTCAGAAATAATTTTTAATCTTTTTGGCTCAATAGGTATCCTCTAGTGGAAAAAAAAATCATGTTTGACACTGTAAGAAACTAAATGTGAGTACTTCTCCTACACAATTTCAACCTAAACCCATCCCCTTATGTCAGAAGGAACAACTAGATCCTCTGTTAGACACACACAACAGATAGTGCAATAACTTTAAATCTAACATATTTCAAAATTACAGTGTCTTCAATCTTCATTATAAACATTTTTCTGCCCTCCTGACACAATTATATTCACGTGCAAAAGAAAAAGCATCAGTGAATGAACTTGTCAACATAAGAACTTACCTGAAGTTCAGAGATCAAGTGTAAACCATCATATGCACTATCTTTGCACTTGATTTTTAGTTTATGAAGCAAAATATTGTTGATAAAATCTCTAGACACAAACAATTAGACTTGCCATTACCCAAGACGCAATGTAAAATCCAACAGACCTACCGATTTATTAATTCAAACCCTAACGCAGAACATCAATGATGCAAATAATCAAATGTACTCACAAGATCAGAAAAGGAACATTACTGCAGCAATATATCTTTTCACATAAGAAATGGGTTTATTGCAGAACAAAATTAGGGTTTTTATGGGGTAGAATTGAGGAGGGTAAGTGATATCTGCGGCGCAAAAGAAAGAATCAGACTATCAGAGGACTAAATTGGTGGCTGGAACAGTAACTAGATTAGATGTAATTTAGGGCAAACTGTAGCTAAGGAAGTAATGAAAGTGCTTACATGTTTGTTTGAGGTAAGAGTTATATAAGTTTGTCAGTTCCAAGTTGGGAATGTGTGATCCAGTCCATGAACCTTCTTTTGGGCTGGAGATACTGAATCTCACCTCTGGCCCAAAGTAATATATATAAAAATCTTTATATTTATTTTTTCCCAATCTTTTTTAGTTATTATATTTATTTTTTTTCCGATCTTTTTCAGTCACGTAATTTAAGATAGATCTTTTTTGTCTCTATCATATTTATTTATTTTAACATTATTTCTTTTATGTTGACTCGACAGAGGTAATTCAATTCTATATATTTGATAACAAATTTATTTTATTGTAATTACTCTAAATTACACATTTTGTGACTCTTTTGCAACTTCTACTGTTGAGATACTTTTTTTTTATCCTTACAAAATTTAAGACCTTTATTATGTCAATACAAAACAAATAATGTTGTAAAAAAATTAATAATAGAGACTAAAAGGATTACAAAACTGCAAGTATAGGGACTAAAATGATTTATTTTAAATTATAGAGACTAAAAATGATTGAAAAGCATAAATGTAAAGACTAAAAAGACCTATTTTTAATTACATGAACTAAAAAGTAAAGTGAAACTATAAAGATTAAAAAAATATTTTAATTTATAAAAATTCATGTATATATACTACTTCCATTCCTATATATATATAAGATTCAATTATCTAATTCATCACATTAAAAAAAAGTAATTAATTTAGTTGATGATAATAAATTTGTCCTATTTATATACTTTCTTTTTCTTCTAGAACTGTTTTTATATTACTTCTCCTTCTTAATTAATTCTCATATATCTTCTAACAAATTATAGTACATATCCTATATAAGTGTGTATGTTGTTATTTATCTCTCATAATTAATACTTATTTTTCTTCTAATTTATTAGAGTTCATACTCTTTTAAGAACACTTATCAAATTAAGATACACTATAATTAGAGAGTTCTTTTAGTCTAAAAATAATTAATATATAAGATAATATGGATTTGATCTTATATAAGGAAACAATCAATTGCTCTAAGTTGGGTCTTATAATTAGGATTGGATGTAATATAAAAAATGAATGATTATATCGTGTGATAACATTTTTAAGGACTATTTTTTAATAATGAATGTTTTTAGGTATTCTTTTAATTTATTATCTAATTTAATTTTTTTATTTACTATATTTATTTATAAATTAAAATTTAATATTTTAAAAATAAATTAATAATTTTGTATTACAGTATAAATTATTTATCTTAAATAAAATTATAATTTATGTGTTTATATTTGATATTTTCTTTTGAGAAAAAACTTAACGCAATGAAAACAAGTTTTTCTTGTGTTATTTTTTTTCTGGCGAAACTTTAAAAAAATGGAAATAAGTTTCTGTTATTGGTTTTTCTTTTATAGAAAATTAAAATTTAGATAAATAGGAAGAAAAGTACAACAAAAAGAAAAGATATCTTCCAAACCAACAATAAAAAATACATGAAAAAAAAAAACAGCAAAGCTGCCCAATCGCTTTACATATCCTACATGGAACCTCTATTGAAACAGTAATCTTAATCAGAGGTGGCATCAAATTATTATAAAAAAAATGTATAAAAAAGACACAACAAATTAGGGGAGTTATGATGTAATATTCAAGTCAAAGATTCTCTTCTATAATAGGCTTATACCAAGATTAAAATGTCCTCTGCTAATTACTCATGCATTAACTCAAATTCAGGAAATATTACACACTGATAAAAAAAAAATGTAGAGTGAACAGGTCAATTCAACCACAAAATAGATCAACTGTTTAGGGGTAGAAGTCCATAAAAACAGATGGAAAACTAGTGATAAAGAATTAACTTGAACCAATTGTTTACTTAAAGGATTCATACAACGACAAATGTTAGTTGCTATCAGCTTATAGTCGTCAATTCTCCTATATTATATTAAACATTCCAAATTATTATCTTCAACGTAAAAAATATTCGTAATGTTTGTCAATGTACAAAAGGAACCTAACCATTACATTAGAAAGAGGGATTAAGAATGTATACAAACAATGACAATGCATGTAGGATTCTTAAAGTCTACGTTCTTCATTTATCTAACTGTGTGACGCTAGATATTTATCTAGCTTGAAACCTGCTATCTCAGCCTCCTTGCAGATCTCTTTGCACATTCCTAACCTCCCGGAGGCCATGTAAATTTGAAGCATGTCCTTGTATAACCCAAAAGTGGGAGAAAATCCAGCTTCTTTAAGTTTTGAAAAATATCTCTTGGCTCTAGATAGATCATTCAAAGCAACAAACAACTTTATCACTACACGATAAGCTGGAAGATCCAAAAGGCAATTTGAAGCCTCCATCTCCCAAACTACAGCCAATGCCTCTCTGTATTTCTTCTCAGTGTAACGGCTGTGAATCACAGAAGTGAACATTACTATGCTCGGTTGAAAGCCAGACTGTTTGAACCAACTAAACAGGCTCTCAACTACTTCAAATTTCTCCATCTTAATGCAGACTTTCATTATTGCGGTGCAATCTTGTTGGCTTAAATTCAACTCATCTCGTTCTCCAAGTTCATCTAACAAGGGCAACACATGCCTGTGTCTGTCAGGGTTCTTTCCAAGTTCTAATATTAGCTTAGCATAAATGCTGGAATCCAGCATTCTTTTATCTCGTCTGGCAACTACTAGAACCTTCCATGCAAGTCTAAGCTTTCCTACTTTTATGAAACCCTTAATCATAGCCTCCAACACAGAACGGCTTGCCAAACCAGTATACCGGTCTATGTTGAATGGAATTTTTAACTCATGGTTTCTGGCCAAGACCTCAACAGTTGAGGCCAGAATCCAATCATCCGGGAAGAGATGAGGTTGTTTTTGTGCCCATAAGAATGTTTGCAGGGCTCTCTCAGGGCATCCCATATGACCTAATTCCCTTATTGTCATTGACAAGGACCCTTTCCTCAGGAACTGCACCCACTTTCCAAGAATTTTAGATACATCTTCATCTGGACCAAGTCTACTTATTTCTCTCGCTAACCCAACTAGGAAACTAGGACTTTTATACACTTTCTTAGCCATAGAATCCCGAGAAAAAGCCACAGCTGGTGCTGTCAATTTTACTTGTGTTTTGGGTGCAGGCAGTCCCACAGGTCGAAGCTTGTAGGGAACTGGAAGAGGAAGAGGCCTTTCTCGATGTAATTTTCCAGGTTTTTGTGGAATTCTACCTTGAAAAAGTGATGAGATAGCTTCAAGTTCATCTGATTCCCAAACAACCTCAGTATCTTCATCCTTCTCTTCATCATTCTCTTCATTGATATCCACATTATCCTCAGTTGGTATAGAGGTGGTGCTAGGCTTCTTCAAGAATAGATTAACACCAAACTCTGGAGGTTGCTGGGGATGCGGTCGATAGCGATTGTCCTTTGCTGGTCTTCTTCTCCTTTTTGAATGTGCTGCTAAAGTGACTCTTCTGTAGTTGCACCAAGCTCTTCCCACCGGAAAAAAATGCACACAAGGAAATGACACAGTGCACTCCATTATTCAGAAGTAGGAATTAAAAATGTGGATGTTGCATTGTCATTCAGAACCTGAAGAGAAAATAATACCCATAAATGTGTATAAACATCTGAATGGACTTTGATCAAACAAGTGGTGTGCATGTTTCATTACCTTGGAACCAGCTTAATTTGTCACTTCTTATTGGAAAGAATTCAACTTTCCCAACTGGGGTTACAAATCCCAATTGCCTGAACACAGAAACAGCTTTTATTTCATTTGGGTCAGGTTCATATGCAACTTCTACCTTTCACCACCGAGCTCTGCTGTCAGCCTGTGCAAAACAAAATTAGTTTTTATTCTCTCGCAAGAGATTTATTTTATCGGTTCTCAAATTGTAATTGACGAGTACATTATTGAATAGATTCATAGCAAATCACTGAATTTATAGAGAAGTTTGCACTAGTACAATTAGGGGTTAAGAGAATCCCAAAACAATGAAAATAAGTGGAGTGATTGTACCTGAGCAAGAGTTTATGTTTTGAAAAGGGATTTCAACTTTAAGGGATGATAACTGCAGAATGTTACGATTTGCTTGTATAGCCTACTTCACCATGCATCGGGGATGGTAAGGGGAGGGGAAGCCACAATTTATGATTTAGAATTTAGAGCATTTTTTTTAATTACTTTTATTTTGAAAGATAGAGAGAGTAAAATAACATTTTCTTGTATGAGAAAATGTAAAATAAACTTCTGAATTTGATTCTACTCAAGTTATTCTTTATTGTTAAGAAAGTTATATGAATTGACATGTATTGGTGAACAGTGTTATCAAAATTGAAACGAATCGATTTAGGTACTTAATAAATTACCACTTAGATTATTGAACCACTGGTTGAATTTTATAGATAAATATAATATCTATATATATATATATATATATATTAAATATATAATATA